TTTTTGTTGTATATTGACAAGAATACATTTCACGACTGCCTGTACAGCAGAGCTCAACTCCCACTTCCAGAATTAACTGGAAATACTTTAAAAAATATTTGTTAGCTACCTATTTGAGGGGATGGAGAGTGCATGATTAAGTATACACTTTAACATAACTTAAGACTGTCAGCCACAACCTTTCAAACCTACACTAAATATTATAGTGATCCACTCTAAATATAATACCGAGTAGCATGAAGTCTTCAACGGACCTGCTCATTCTCAGCAAGTGAGCAAGGATGTATCAGCATCAGCTCTGCTGAGCTGAAGGGTCTCATACTTGACTGCACGCCTAGATCCTTAAGAAATCTGAAGTTATGGGGTCTATCTGTCAGTGCTCTTCTAATATCTTCTAGACCATTTTATGCCTATTTATCAAAGTGAAAGGCCCTCAAGCATGCTAAGTTCCTACATGTTTGATAAAAATTGTAATGGTTGTGTGGATTATAGTGACCCTACAGATACTTTTACTGAGGGATCCAGCTATCATGCACTCCCTGTGGAGGCTGGCCGGCCACGAAGCTTGGGTAGGCCATTCACCAATGAACATGCTAACAGCTCTGGACACTAACGGAATAAAGTGAATCTTGAACTGGTTGCAAGCCGAAAAGTAAAGTGAGGGATCCAGAGGTATCTTATGAAAATCACTTATATGGGTCATGCAGGGAATCATACTAAGGCAAGGAGGTGTGGAAATATGAGACAGAAATCCATGGAAAGCAAGGCTTCATTCATTCCACAGCTCTTGCAATAATCTTGCAATTTTTGTTTTGTTTCTATTTTGTTTTTACAATTTATGGCTAATCAAGACTACAGCTGAAACAGGCATGTGAGTTTGTGCATGCGTACATACATGCATGTGTATATGCATATACATATGTACAGATACATATTTAGAACATGACACAAAACAAGCTACATAAGAGCTTCTACTAGTTAAAATGTCTTATAACAGAATTTATTGGGACACAATTTTCTTGAGAGAAAGAGACTATTGAACTATTATTAGCAAGCATGTAGCATATGTGCATGCATAATACCTGCGCATGCCTCAACTATGAAATAGCATAAGCAGATCCCCAGTAATTAAGAGCAGTTGTGCCTAATGGCTGCACCCATATTTATGATGGCAAAATGCAGGATAAGGAGAAGATTCACCTGCTACAAGTACAAGTATGACAAAATTTGATAATTTTTTAGATTCTGAAACATTTGGTCAGCTGGGCCAGGTCGAATACCTAATTAACATTGTCACTAACATTTTATTCTCTTATCTGCAAAGTCACTGACATGCTCGCCAATGCTGATCCTTTGAAATACGATGTTGTTTGCACACTTATTTCTTAAAAAAGAAAGAATGACCTTTGTGCAAATCTGCAATGGCAGGCTTCTAAACAAAGGACACAATAGCCACTTAGGTAGACCAATTTAGCATGCTGAAAATACAGAGCAAATACAGATTAAAAAAAAAAAAAAGTGTTGTATTTAGGAACTGTTTTAAATGGAAGTGCTGTAATAACCCTCCAAAGAAGCAGACTGGAAATAAATTATGCAACTGTAGCTGATTTGAATCAGATTCTGAGGGACCAAGAGAATGAACTCTCCAGAACAGGTATTTGCTCTGCAGTTCTTCAGATTAATTGAACAGAATAGAACGTCATTACGACAGATGCTACGTTATAGACAGCAAAATACTAAAACGTTAAGAAATAACTTATTTTCAGAATTGAAAATAATGGGAGGGAAGGACTTCTACATACGTTGGCTTGGTCATAAGGAAATATTAATCAGTATTGCTGCACTGGCACAAGTGGAGATGAGGTGATTTATACCATCTGCGAATCTGGCTATGTGGATGTAAATAAATTTGACCAGAACAGATGATATCAGCAGACTTATACTGAACAAATGAGATTCCATTTATAAAACACAGATCAAGGATGTGCAGTTGTATAACAAATGTGAGCAAAGGAGCTACTAAGATAAGTATCAGATGTGAATGGGCCATTAGTAGAAATAAATACATCAGCCAATGTGATAATGTCAAATCCTCTGCAGAACAAAATATAATGTAGAAATATGAAAGTCAGTGTTACTTAACTAGTTTAAGTTTGGCAATTGTCTGAGTTAGTCCAGTGAGACACATCTGAGCCTCAATTCATAGAACCTTTTATATGTGCTTACATGTGCTTAAATTAATAAGAATTCTTAAAGATATGCTTAAGTTTAAGCGTGAACTTAAATTCCATTTACTTTAATGGGATTTATAGAAGACAGAGTAAATACACGACAAACTGCATTTTCTAAACAAGGATTTTTTCAATAAATGGTGCCCTTTTTTCTGGGGCCCTTACTTTATTAAAGATTTTTAAATGTGTATAAATGTTGTGATTTGAAGATGATCATTGGGTTTGGAAAGACTGGGAAAATAGTTGACAAGAATTTGAAGGGCTAATACAAAGGGAAAAGTTCTTATTTGGGGGGCATAACTTGGAGCAATAAGGAAAAATGACAGTCATCAACCAGTACTTCCTTATCGTGTCTAATGCAGCGTGGCAAACCAGCTGTTCATGGGAAGTGATGCAAATCTCATTGCTTTGGATTTTAGGAGTAGAAAACCTAGAAAACCTGCTGTTACAGATTATTTTGCATTTTATCTTGCATTTATAAGGCAGTATGACCAAAGAGTCCTAAAGACCTCTTTCATCTCTGCCATTTTTTATGATTCTAAATTATGATGTCGCACAGATAAGAAGATTGTGCCCCATATGTTATTATGTCGGGACACTAGCAGAACGGACAAAGTCACTTTGAACTCTAATGCACAGTTTACTGATTTGCACACAGTGGTCTTTGTGTGTTTATTCTACCTCTTGCAAGGCACAAGAAGTTTCTATGAGGTCTGACTGGTGAACAGAAATACCATACTCTGTGATAGCTGATTGCCAGGTTTCTACCACTTCCCTATGTAGAAGCATGTCAGATGCTACGTCGTAGCTATTGAGCAACCAGAAGTTACAGACTAGCATCTTAAAAGTGAAAGAGTTCCACGTATAATTTAATACAGTAGCTTGAAAATTGTTCTGGTTCAGCTGCTGCCTTACAAGCAGCTGAGCTGTCCATGTGGCAGTGGCAGATATTCCAAGGCAGGGGTAAAGCAGACAATTACGGGTGGGAACCACTGGAGCCCTCCCAAAGCATCGTTTCCACTTGAAAGTTAAAGACTCCGAGGAGCTATCAAAGAAAAAACCTTGCTAATTTGAGACTTGGTAATGCAAATACCTCAAAAACCCCACTCCAAATTGTATGTCTCTGCCTGGCTCTCAGCCAGGATTTCTCATCCAATTTCAGCATATTAAGATTTTATTGTTTTTAGGAAAGCTTCTGAAGAACATTTGGTAGTGTATTTCAGTATTTAATCACACTTTTTAAATGAGAAAAGCGCACTTATGAAATGCATGAATAAAGTACACCTGATAAAGCCTTTTCCTTGCTTCCTTATGGCATTTGTTCCACGGGGAGCACCTGTAGTAAGTCTGCAAACTCATGGCAGGACCAGGGCCTCAGCGGACGAATACGGGAAGCAAGCCAGGCGCCGGGATGGGAAACGTGCCCTGCTAATGTATCCCTCTGCTGTAGCTCCAAAGCTCGCTCTGACAGGCAGTCGTTAGCAGCGAAGGCACCCGTGCAAAGCGGCAAGTCGCCCGTGTTATATGACTCCGGTGGCTTTCCCGCATCTTATTCCCGGGGATGATCACTTCGTGGAATCCCATCACCCCAGCAGCCTTATCTAAGGAAAGAGAGGCGGCGCCGGGCGTTAAAACACCCACTGCAAACGCCCGGCAAGTTCTCAGAGGGGGCAGGGAGAGCCCCTCCGGCTGGAAACACCCCCTCCCTCCCTCCCTCCCCTCCCTCCCGGCCCCGCGACGAC